TTTTTTATTTTTGCAGTCTGTAAAGGAATTCAGGGTATATTTCAGGCAATGAAGACCAAAAGTACACGATGCTGCGAAGATCAGATGAAACAACTTTCATTTCAGGCGAATCTCTTTTTTTTTTTATAATTTAAAACTTAAATATTCATAAAATGATTTCAAGAACGAGGTATGAAAATTATGGAAAAAACATACATTTTCGTTAAAAAATATATGCAACTAGTGATGCTTCTGATTTCCCTCTTACGTTTTCTTATTATCCTTATTTGTATTTTTTTTTTTTCTTGAATATACTTCATTTTGAAGCCATTACGGTAGTAAAACTACAAAAGTTTCAATACTGTTACATAAGGCCTCTTGTTTTTTGCAAAAAGTGAGATGCCCATGAATCGTGATTTTAGGGACGGTTTTGAAATAAGGCCGCTATACTACTAATGAAGCTATTAATATTACTATAAGTATTAGCAATCAAACGTGGAAATTATTATGCACTTCATCGGGTCTAAAATAACTGTAAACAAATGTGAGTTATTAAACCACATGTCAAAGAAAATTAATATTCTCAAAAAATTTTATTACAAATGTGATAAAATAATACTCCCTCACTAAATTCACTGTTTTGATATTAATAAATATTAAATGACTGCTTCACACTTTTTAAATTAATGAAAACTTGAACAAAATATGACACATTGAACTATCTTAAAAATCTTCTCTACGTCTTCATTCTGTGTGACGTATGACCTAATGTTAGCAGTAAATTAGCAGTAAATGAATTAATTAATCATTTAATTAAAGTAAATTAACTGATAATTGTTCAATAATGATAAGTAATTAATCAAACTGTCTCATGTATAACAGTCTCGTTTATTTTGCTAATCAATAGGTAATTATTTATAATTAAATAATAGAAAGTGCAGTTATTGAAAGTGTATAATGTGTATATAAGTCTATGAAAATATTAAGTTCAACTGGGAGAAGTGTAATTAGTTATGTTTAATTAAATGTGATTTTTTTGATGCTTAAAATACCGAAAATTAGGTTTAAGTAATACTTCTTAAATTTAATTAACTTTTTAAAAATTAACTTATTATTACAGTTACTTAGGTATATCAGTTCTAAAATAATTTACGTAATTAGTCAGTTGCATAATTTCAAGTTACAACTGAGCTATTAACTTTTCTCAAGCAAAGCGTATATACTTTATAAATAAATACATGAATCCAATATTTACTTTCGGTAAAGTCCGATCACTGTTTTTTCTAATCGTTTCTCAAAATTTAACTTATTTTCAGCTTTGAGACGTACTATTTCTTGAATTACCGATTCTAACATTTCGAATTTGTAATTAAAGAAATTTATAAAAACGAATCGAAATGTGCAGCGTGGGACTCAGAACTCCGAAGTCCGTCGTAAAAATCGAAGAATATATTGCACTACTGCCAGTGTAGAGTAGTTGTTGTCGTGTTGCCAAACGCAATTCGTTGATCTTCAGTGAAACGTGGTTATTGGCCTCAGTACTTATGTAGTGGGGTTCCTGGATCAGTTTGACCTCATTTGACCTGAGCTAGGAGCCCCACTACTTTTTATCGAACGTTTGTTATCGCCTTATGCTTTGTCGATCTGACCCCGGGGATGGTCCTGTTTTGGACAAACTCGAATTCTATCCCGACTATCCTCTCATGTAGCTTAGTAGGAAAGTACAGATTTATAAATAAAATATTTAAGTGTAGTCAGCTTGGCCGAGCGGTCTACGGTGTTAGATTTAAGCTCTGATTCTTGAAAGGGAGCGTGGGTTCGAATCCCACACCTGACAGTTTCTTGCGTTTAAATAAAACACGTTTTAATGTTGTGTTATTTATTAAGGAAATATAGAAAAATAGAAAATATCTTTATCATTATTAATGAACAGAAACATTTTTTATTTTTAGATATATGTATGGTTATCACAAGCTGGGATTTCTTTGCTCAATTTCATACACTCTTATATGGCTTCCAGATTCGCAATTTCGGGATAGTCTTCTCCTAGCGTTTCCATGAGATAATTTTCTTTATTTCATCCTTTCACATATACAACCTCCTATATTCGATCAAATTTTTTTACAGATGTCTGATCCTGGGCGTCATCATTAAATCTCAACATTTGATGATAACGTTGCAGATATCTAGCGGTTTTTTATCGAGCACCCCCCCCCCCCCCCCCATATAATAAAACAACAAATACTAAACGCTCTATCTCAATTGTGATGATTTTTTTATTCGTCGTAAGCCAACGGAAGGAGATTAATTGCAAAATCCTTATTTCTCTGCAAGAAATAAACAACATGTTTTTGAGTATCGTGTTGTTCAAAGAATACTATGTTTATTAAGAAAAAAACAAGTCAAAAATTAAGCCCCACCCATATCCATACCAAACTCAATTGTGATGAATTTTTCATTCGTTGTCAGACCGAGGGGCGGAGCCTAATTGCAAAATAAAAACTGCATACTACCGCAATTTGATTGGTTGAAAACCCAACGTCAACGGCAACGTAACGTTGAAAGTTAAAAGTGGGTCATCTCGAACGTCAAACGCCCAACGGCGTACCAAATTTTAACAGCAACGTCAACGGATGATATAAACACCACTAAATGTTACCAAAATATCACTCATTGCTGTGTAGTTCTTCCCACACGTGAGCTAAGGAAGTATTATAATCAACTACGTAGGCTGACTCTCTACTTTTACCTTTTCTCGACCTTTCATGACCCCTAGAGTACGAAGAAATGGGTTTTCCGTTTCGGTCTGTCTCCCTGTCTGTCTGTCCGTCCGTCCGTCTGCCTTCCGTCCCGACTTTTTTTTATATGTTTTTGCAGAGTGATTCTTCTGTAAGTATTTTCTCACTGTGGGAGTGAGTTATCGTTGTCACCCCTTAGTGCTTGCTCCCCGGGGTGGACCGCACCCCCCCCCCTGCATTATGCCCTGCTTTCATACAATTCTTTGAACTGTTTTGCAGGTTTGAAAGTTTCATATATTGTGTGAATTCCATCGTATAGCGTAAGTTCTTTTTTAATGAATTCTGGCAAATGAAAACCTTGCAACCAATTTCATCTTGTCGGTCATTTTGACTGACTGATGAGAATATGACTATACTATGGTTTTTGTATCAATCTAACTATTGTGGGTGTTGTTCAAACCTAACCACTTTACATAAAGTTGCTTACCTTTGTTTTTTAAAACCTTTTCTACGAGATACGCACCCGGATTTTTTACTTTTAGTAGTTCCATTTCATAGAAGCCACATAAATATTTTCACATTTTTCATCGTTCAAAAAATATGTCGTAGGGTTTGTGAGATTAATCTTCCTTACTATGAAAATTTCATTTGACCAAATGGATGTGTATCCTTTACCAAAGACTCCGCGATACTTAGTTATTCTTACGTGATCGCCAATTTTAAATTTTTGTTGATTGCTAGCCATTTTAATACGTGTGTAAGCAGCTTGTAGAATAGCTTTTTCGTTACTTTTGTTAACTTGTGAGGGTTTTATTTTTTTAGTACGTCAGGTCGACCCAGCACAAGGCGATGACAACGTTCGAGAAAAACTAGTGGGGCTCTTAGCTCAGGTCAAATGAGGTCAAACTGAGCTAGAAACCCCACTATATAACTACTGACTTCATTGCTTCTTATGGGGCTATGTTTAACAATATGTGCTTTAAGCGATTTTTGTTATGAATTATTTCATTCCCACTGAAAGGAAATACTTAGGTATAAATCTCTGCGTGTTCTTGCTTTTTTTCTTCATGTCATGGTAGAATATATGGGAATACACAACTGACACATTTAATTTGGCCAAAAAATATTTTATTCAATTTTTATTTTTTGGGGGGTCGTTGACCAATCGATCCCATGGACAAGCCGCCGCAGAACGAACAATCCACAATTATACATGGTGTTACATCATTTTATTTTTTTTAAATTGAACGTCTTATTAAGTGATTAAATGATATCATAAGCAAAGATTTTCCAACATAGGTATTTGCATTTTCAAGTAAAAAATGGTCATATTTAAAAATTCTCAACTTACACATATTTAAAGATGGAGGTTGAAAATTTTGCACAAAACTTTTGAGATGTGTAACTAAAAACCAAATGTATTCTGATATTATGAGACCACAATCTTTCTTTTTAGTTTAAGGAAATTTTTGTACGCATTGTAAATTACTCTGTCTGTCATGGGTTACATTGATAACGAGAGGTATGTAGCGAGTTTGACAGTAGTAAGCTATAATTTTTCTAAAACTCGCTTCAGTCTAGCGCAAACTTAGTTTGAGTTTACTGAGTTAAGTTTGAGTTCAAGACGAGTCTTGAGTGACGACTACCTAGGAATACAGCCCATGAGGGCACAAAAATATCCGGGTTCAAAGTCAGAATACGAAATAACATTACAGCATACACTTCCTCGGACCTGCGTAATTATATAATATTTACGTGGTGTCATCTTTTTCTAGGTCAGATATATTTTGTACAAATCTGCGATTGTCGTTTTGTCCTTTTATTTAGATCAAGACAGTTCTGACCGAACGAGCATGGTCCCAGGTGGAGTGGTGCAAGGTGCGTCGCTAGGTAAATTACCCCGCCCTCCCTGAGCGTCGGTCGATTTGGCGTCAGTTCGGCATCGGTTCTGTATTAATTTTATTTGTTGTCGAGTTTGTAGCCGCCACTGCCGCCGCCGCCGCCGCCGTTCCCTGCGAAAAGGTGGAATGTTTACGAGCGCGAAGGAAGAAGGAGCCGCTTAATTTAAGGGTGTTATCGATTTTGTTCGAATGTGTTTCTTCCGTCTTCGGCGTCCCGTCCGGCGCGTTCCTGCTACTCCTGCTGCCGTCCCTCCGACACACTGGCCCACATCCGGCGTGCGTTATTTCCGCGTTGTTTTTATCGTTGTGTGCAAGGCGCACCACGTCGCACCTTTGCGTCATCGCCGTCGTCGCACTGACGGTGCACGGATTGCACCCAATCACAGCCATTGTTTGTCCCGTCCATCAGCGCTCGCACGCAGCCGCGGACGCCGTCTCCGAAGGGGCGGCGAACGCGGCCGAACCTCCGTCGGCGCTCTTCTCCGACCGTCGGTCTCAGTATCGTGTTGACAGTGACGCTGAGTAGGCGATTCCGGGAGCCCGCTAGCCTGTCCCGGTTTCTATTACCTTAGTTTAGTCGTAGTTGAGCAGATCGCAGTCACTCAGTGCTATGGAGCCGCAGAACCAGGAGATCGTGGCCAGCGGCTCGCCTGCGGAGGTGCCTAACGATCCGGGGTGAGTAAACGCCGGACCGCCGCTCCGGTGCACATGACTCCGAGCGCCCAAACTCAAAAATGCCTCCTTTTGCAGGAAAATGTTCATCGGGGGACTCAGCTGGCAGACTAGTCCAGGTAAGCCCACACGTGACTCGGTGTCGTTATCAGTGCCGCCCGGTGAAGTGCAAACAGTGATAAGAAGAACCAGGAAATAAACAGTGATCGCACGTTACATACATACGTACATGACTCTCGAACGTTCACGCTTAAATTAGACCGATGTGCATTGATCACTTGTAATTCAGCTCCAAAGTTCACGTCTATTTCCATTTCGACGAGCGCACCAGTTCTGTTACCACTGAAATTCTCTATACAAACTTCATTTATTATTTATCGTAATGCCAGTTACGGCGAACGCAAGGTGCTAGGTACTTAGGACGATTTTCTGCATTCTCTTGTGCGAAAACTTCCGGGAAAACTGTGAAGATGGCACTAGCGGTGTCGGAAAATACGACACCGCCCCCCACTTCACCCCCCTCTCCGTTTCTCAAAGTCATCAAATCACTTAACCTCAATTGAGCACGTGTTCGTTTTAATTAGACGACATCTAGTGTCAATGAAGAGAACGAATCGATTTTTTCCGGTTCTTATGCTGGTACGAAGTCTCCACCACGGCATTGTCTTTCCAATGATAATGCAAATTTACGATAATTAACTATTCTTTGCTTTTACAACAAATTGCCGGCCTCGTTATCATCGTAATCATTAAAATTAATTGCTTTTCGACGATAATTAAAGTTTTTAGGGCTTCCATAAAGCGGTCAATTTACAATTTGAGTAAAAACAATATTGGCGAGATTATCTATTCCGGGCGGCCAAACAAATTACTACAAAACATTCCGTAGTAGCCGAACGATGTATAATTTATATATTCTCGAATACATTATTTTTATGACAGTGTAGAGCGTGACGTCAGAACCGTGGTACTTATTTGTACAGTGAATTAGTCACATGTGATTGCAGATGGAAAACTTCGCGCTAGAAATTTCGATATTATGTTCCAGGCTCGAACGCTATAAATTCTCGACTATCTATTTAACCCGAACCGCTCCAACAATATACAAACTTAATTGTTTTGCTCCGTCGGTTTGTTTTTCCTCATTAAAGCTCTTTATTTTGAGGCGATCATTTTCTCTTACCCAACCAAACAGCACGATCTTTTCACTTTCTTTTTTCTCGTGCCGTTTGGTTGGTGTGGTACCAGTAAAACACCTCTGATGGCCTATACACTTGCAGAAATAACGTGAGGCTTCCGCATCGTCCGAACCTTGGCCAACATTCGAAGGAACCACTCTGAGTTGGACGAACCGAAAATTCACGATGTACCTATATTATTTTTTACGAAATAAATTTTGAAAATTTCGATTGGTTTTTTATTGTTTCGGTCAAAATTCACGCGTCTACTCTGATATAAATATCCTGGGCTTATTCTTGGCTTTCTGTGTTTATTTTGGGCACGCTTATTGTTACCGCAATGCAAATGAGACTACAAAATCACATACGCACTTTTAATGTCAGTGTCATGAATGAAATTGCTTATTATGGCGTACCTGTTCCATTGTGTGCTGTGGAGTCAAGGTCAGGTCAGAACGAGCGAAAAAACAGTATCCCGTTCCGTTTTTGGGTTGAATCTCGTTCGGAATAAAATAGGGGAAACTTGTGTCGTTACGTCAACGTGGGAGATTCCCCTAAAATAAATTTCCTGAGGTCGCAACACTCGACGACTTTGTTCTTGGTCGTTGATGCGTTTTTCCTTCCATACTTAAGTCTCTTCCTGCATTCTCTTACAATTATCAACATGCAACGAGGCGGTCCGCGGTCACCAACGTCGATCCACGTTTTATGAACGTTTTTATCGTCATCTGCCTCCCACCGTTTTCACCAGATCCGTTTAATCACCCATTGTCAAGTTTGCAATAACAATACCATATTTTTTCGACAATTGGGAACCATTCCAACAATGCTGGCAGGTAATGAAGTGATCCGACCAACATCTGTTTGTGTTTTTAAACTTAACGTCTGATAAAATGATCAATCATGATGATCGTTCCTAGTGAGGAAGATTAAAGACGTCCTAACTCGCGTGTCAATTAGGCCGGTGCACTATTTTTTTCGCCCTCATCATATTTTCTAGGATTAAATTCCAAGTAAGAAACACTTTATCTCTTTCGTTCGTTTGCTTTTCCACTTCTCCGTTTTTATTTTAATTAACTAATAAGCTGCTTTTCCATCTTCTGGATAATTAAAGACTCGGGATCTTATTAATATTGCAACGGACCACTAAAACGTTAAAGCCACTCTCTCTGTTGGAGAAAGACTCGGAGCGACCCTTACGGGGGTGGCTTTTAAATATTAATTTCCTTGCAATCGTTTAAGCAAATGACACAGGCATTACGGTGCATTGTGATTTTCATTTGGTTCTAACGGTCCATTTTAGAGCGTTTTCACCGTCAAATGGCCCCTGGGAGGTCTCAGGATTTCCTAAACGGATGCAAATCGCATATTTACAAATATTTTCATAAGTAATGAGAAAAATATCAAGATACACACTAGTTCAAAACACACCTATTAAGCTTTAATGATTTCCTGCTGGAGAACTTTTCAAACCGCACAAATTCTAATGCAAATGGAATTGAATTATTACTCTATTATCTCCAGTAAACCTGAAAGGTAATGGTATTGCATAATAATCATACTACGAACTTCCATTCAAAAAGTGCATTAGAAGGTGTTGTGTTAAGGTAAATTGTGTTGTGTTATGCAATTTTCATTCAGCTAATGCAACGGCATTTCTGCTGATTAAATAGCCGACGCAGTGATAATGTTAGCAAAGTAGTTAGGAATTAGGGCCCAGGATATTTATAAAAGCAGAATATCAATTATGCGTGTCTTATTATTATAATTTTGAGGTTGCAGAGGGTGTTTCAGGTCTTACAATGCAGATAATATCTCATTCATTAATTGTAGTGCCACAATATTTGAATGTGGCGCCAAAAGTGTAAACGTTCGAAATTTTTAAATATCAAAACAATTAAAGAGTAAAATTATGTTGACCAACTATCAAGCTATAAAACGTGTAAATAGATCAATTCTAAGAAATGTTTGACTTAATCTGAGTTATTGAGGACAATCTAATATATTCCTACTTGAATAACAAGTTTTTCTTCAATAAAAGAAGACCGCTACCGGTGCAAACTAACTTTATGGCATCTTGTTTAGATCTTAGAATTACGTTCCAGAGATGTAATAAATTGATCACTTTAATTAAGCTGATTAAAAATTGAAAGCAAGAAGTCCCACGCCTGGTTGGTTGTTTAACTCTTTGATATTAAGTAGTAGTAGCTTTTACGGTACTTGAACATCGTTAATCATAAATGAGATATTTTCTGTATTGGGATATTATGGTTTATGACATTGCAATTGGATAATTTGTCAACGTGTTGCATAAATGTACTTAAAATCTTGTCAAAAATAAGTAGCACTTCAAATAGTGAGTAATTTATAAAATTAAAGTAGTTTATCTGCTTATTTACCATGAATTTTAGATAAGTGGAATTTTCAATTGTCTGACTTAAAGTGTCTAGACCGGATGTCTGCATAGATGGAAAATGATAAAGCATAAATCGTGAAAGGATATTCTGCTTTTGGTAGTTTTATTGCATTTTTGATGACATAATTTTATCTACTTAAAAAAAAAAACATGTGTTGCAGCAGTACTATAGTATTTATTCCTGTATAAAAATCATCTCTTTCTTTGCAATCTCTCACAGTCTTTAAGTGGATACTGCAAAAGTGTAGTAGTTTTTTTTTCATCATTTGACGTTTGACAACTTAAAGTGGTTCCAACTCCGCCAACACTTGGTACCTATTAGTACCACAAAGCCAAAATCACCGATACGCCAAAAGAACTGAACTCTTGTATACGGTCCTACTATTTCTCAAAAAAGTGAAGCAATTAGTAAAAAGTAGATTTCTCTGCTTCGACAACAGTGGGCACAAAAACCTTGCCATACATCTATTCTTTGTTCGTTATTTAACTGGCCAGAGCCGGTTTCACCAAGCTTAAATCTAAATTAGTCCGAAGAAGTGAGTGGAAGTAAATTACGGCAGAGCGATTTCTTTAATGAAATGATGCGGCACGTGTCTCCATATTTGTGTAAGAGTAGGCTGGTGTGTACTCCAAGCAAGACTAGTAGCCAAAAATAGGTCCTGGAGAGCTAATAACGACCTTCGAACTGTTAAATCAATTGTAAACAAACCTCTCGAAGCAGATTTTTCATCGAGTTATGAGTGCGTAGTGGCGAACATGTAAGAGTTCGCAAGTAAAAAGTAAATAGAACACAACAATAGAAACTCACAGTTTGTCACAATGCCAATAGAAAGTTGTAATTACCACAGACCGACTCTTTATTGTGCTAATCAAGCGAGTTTACCGTGAAAGGTTATCTGGAAATATCCGAGGCTTTTTCAACAGGAAGGTTTATTTAGGTTCCATCGGCAGCTCCCAACCCATTAAAATACTAAGCTTGAGTAACTTAAGGAGCGGAAATAGACAACCTTGACTGGTGCATCATCAGAAAGGATTTTAGATGCATTTCATCGAAAAAATTGGCCCGAAAATTGGAGATAAATTCGAAGTTCGGAAGTGTCCATCGCACCAAGTTTGCATCTTAAAATATGTAGTGCGGCAATTCCGAATGGATCGACCAAACTCGAGCGAAAAAGTTTTTAATTAGTTTTGCCAAGTTGCAGTTCTAAAATAATATTTTAATTGATCGTCTTGATTCACGGCCCCACTTTGCCGGATCGATGAGTCTCGGGGGTCAACTTGCCAACTCTTTTCAGAATTTAGCTAGTTTAGCTAATAACGCAAAAGGTATTTACGATCTCGCCAAGTTCAGCGGAAAATATATCGTACGGGGTGGGATAATGCATATGAACTATGTCTATTAGTGCATTTGCTGGAACGGAAAAGATGGGAAAAGTTATCCGAAGAATTATGACTCGCGGCTGATAAGGCAGATGGAAGGATTTTTAAAGTTAAAGGGAAAAAGAAAACGGTTCGGATGCATTTC